TCACAGAATGAGCTTTTCTGTGGAATCTTCTATATCAGTCTGAATGATTTTCATGTCATCAAAGGCCAGGACTTAGCAATTAATGTCCTAGTTTCTTCTTGAGAAGTAACTTCCTAACTGAGAGTGACCTAGGCGTGGCCATTTTCCCTCAGAGCCTCCATGTCAGTCTTCTTCACTCATTCATCCAGACCATCCTCACTGTGGTGTGTGGTCCTAATCACAGCCAGACTGCTCCCCAGCTGTTAAGTTGTTTTGAAGACATTACATGAATTTTCCTGGAGACACATAAACACTGCGTACTCAACCAGATGGGGCATAACTAACAGAAAGAGTGACACAACTCCACCATGCCAGGCCTGGTGAAGGAGTTAGTTTTGTTTTATTGGTATTAAAGGTGAATTAGCATCTGTTTAATGTCCACATCACTGAAGAAAAGATTTTCCCCAGCAACCTTTAACTGCCTATCTGCTATCTGTCCTTAGGGAGAGGTATCATCTCCTGGGATTCTACATGAAAGAACACCTTAATGGGCCCAATCTTATATTCATCACCTCTAGGCCATCATAGGGACTAGGAGTTCAAGAAGGCAAATGTCATCCCTTGACTGCAGGACAGCATCCCACAGCAGGGGAAAATGCATATTGATGCTTCAGGGCAGAAGCAAAGCAGAGAGAGAGAGACAAACCACATGATTTTACAGCTCACAAGGAGCTTCTATCCTGGAGAGGAGCACAGAGGAGATACACAGGGAGATAGAGAGGGAAATGAGGCTCTTTTCATGGCACTCTGGCTTTATGTTTCCTTTGCCAACTTGTTCCCTGTAGATCCCTCCTCCACTTCTTATTAACACAAATCACTCCATCTCCCAAGAAGCAACATTCTCATCCATTCTTGTCTCTTTGGTATGCCATATTTCCCCATGAGATTGAATACCTGTGGTTGTCTATTTTTTCAAATATTCTCATCTTCTATGTCTATGTATTTATTTGTATCTGCTTTCTTGTACCAAAATGTTGCTCCTCTGCACCACACTACAGCTCAGTTGATTATGTTTGCATCCATGGACCCCTTATTATGATCCAGCAGTACACAAATCCAGTGTAGGGGCTCATGTCTATAATCTAAGTGTTCAGATGATGGCGGCAGGACAACCATTTATGCCACCCAGTGCATGCATTTAATATCAGCCTGGGATACATCAGACCTCGTTCAACAACAGACAAGTGAATGAACAAACAATCAGACACCTATACTGTACAGGTAATCCCTAACTTTTCCTCATATCCACTTCTAAGGAGACATGCTCATGCTCTTTCAGACACAGCAGCACCCAAGCCCTTGCATCTTATTCATGCTTGTCTGGTCATACACAGTATCACACATAGTGTTTCTTTCCTAATTATTCACAGATACTTGTTTTCTCTGACCTGAGAGGATGTGATGAGCTAACCCTGTGAGTCAGTCATACTTTCACTCAGGAGTCTAAAGATTCATATCTAATTTATTGTTTATCTTAACCAAGAAAAATTATAACTATCTAGTTTTTAACTACATCAAAGACCTCAGAAGAATATAATATTACCTAAGTAAACAGAAAGTGCATTGTAAGCAACTTTCAAAAATCTAGAATGACAGAGACAGCTGGCTGCCTGGACAGTCACCTAAAGTTCTTCTGCAATATTGGGACATCCATTTTCAGCCCATAGACCTAGAGACTCAGTCATTTTTTTCTGTGTCCTGTAGAATGTCTGGTAGTTTCTTCTACCCAAGCAGGAACCTGAAGGACCATCACCTTGAAGAGTTCAATGGTCACCTTCCTATGGGTCCTGCATGTCCAGTTGATACAACATTTTGTCAAGCAGTTCAAGCAAGAACAGTTTCTTGCCCAAATGGCTATTTTTGCCAAGAAGAAGATAAATTCCATATGGACTGTCTTTGACGCCCATCATCTTCCTTGAAGTAATTGGTCCTGGCAGAAGCAGACATGTCTCGTCGTCCAGAAAAGTCTAAGTTTTTAAAACATTTTAAGGCCAGGCGTGGTGGTGCATGCTTTTAATCCCAGCATTTGGGAGGCAGAGGCAGGTGGATCTATGTGAGTTCGAGGCCAACCTGGTCTACAGAGTGAGATCCAGAACAGGCGCCAAAACTACATATTATGTAGGTCTTTGAAGTGTTTGAAGATTACCTTCCTAATTGAAATATATATATAATATATATATATAATATATATATACATATATATAAACGTGACTGTAAGTTTGACTATCATAAAAGAATAATTATTAATCTGTATTAATTATCCATTACAATTTAAATGAGTTACATAACATAATACCTTAAATGAGAGTAGAAATAGAAATATACATACAGTATAACAAAATTAACTTTAAATTTGTATCAACAAACTAAAATCTATAGCAATGTAAAACATTTTAAACAATTTGCTCTTTAAAAGTAGGTTCAGCAATCCACCCTTTTATCCTATCATATCTACACCTTATACTTCCATATCAGAAGGGACTGTAACCCTCCAGTGTTGGTCACAGTAGTCTTGGAAGATTCATGCTGTCAAAGGGAGGGGAACACATCATGAGTACTCTTGCACCCTAAACCCACCCCTAGTTCACAGACACACAGCATGTTCATCCTGGGCCAACAAATGTTGACCCACATGAGCTCATGCAGATGTTCCACTTACTACAAGAATAAAATCACAGGTGTGGTCAATGCCCAGCAACACCCTGCAGCTTCTGGTCATAGGTGAAGAAGTTCCAACCCTGTTCCTGTGATTTCAAGACCTTAATGTCTTTTCTTTTCTTTGTGTTTGTGTATTTTTTCATTATCCTTTTTTATTTAAAAGTTTTCTTTCATTTTACATACCAATCACGGTTCCCCCTCCCACCCTTCTCATGCTCACCCCACAAATTTCACCTACCCTACTGACCTTCATCCAATCCTCAGAGAGGGTAAGGCCTTCCATGGGGAGTCAACAAAGTCTGGCATTGACAACTCACAGGGATGGAAAGACACGGAGGCTGGGAGAGGAATGTCCCCTTAAAAATGGATGTGATGAAATACTTGGGACATATCCACACTATGGGAGCTTTATACTAAATATATTTTCACTATTTCTTTGAAGATAATTACATGCATAAAATGTATTTGATCATGTTTACCACATACACTAGATGATATTTTTCTTTCCTTTTATGAGAGAGGGCCTGATATAGCCCAGGCTGACCCCAACACATTGCATAGTAAGAATGTCCTTAAACTCCCAATACTCTTAGCTCTGCCTCCTAAATGATTAGTCAAAGACTTGAGCCACAACATCAGATTTATGCAGTACTGTGAATCAAACCCTGACATCTAAGAATTTCACACAACAAATACTCTACCAACTGAGCACTTTTCTGGTGTAGTAAAGGACATACACAGACAGACATACAGGATGGTAATTATTCATATTGACATTGATACAGAGAGGAAATTAAGGATGTTTTGGGGCTCAGCAACAAAAGGGGGAAATCTTCACTGACCTCTGTACTATTCTCCATGTGACAAACAGGAAATGTTTGTGCCATAAACCCATCTTAAATGATGCTAAGTTAGAGAATTTTCCCCACGTGACATACTCCTAGCATGGGATCATTACTAAAGAGGAGGCTGAAAATTTTTACAGCCAACACATGGTGGATGATGACAAACTTTTCTGGACACTGCAGAATAGTCGAACATTTGAGATCACAGTGGTTGTGATAACATCTACAAGCCCCACACAAGCTCAATGCAGAACAAATCCAGTATTATGATGGGAGATCGGCAAAGAGCCCCACCCATAGATGAGATATCTACTGGGAGAAGGAGAATCAGTTTCTTTAATGGTGTGGCCCTGAGTATTATGCCCAAGAATATGGGAAGCACAAATAGAGCTGCATGGAAGAAATTTGACAGGTGTGTAAGGAAAATCAGTGGATTTTCAACAGCTAGAAGGTCACAGAAGGAATCAAAAGGAAAAATCAGTCAGAGCAGCGGTAGTGCTCGCCTTTAATCCCCATACTTGGGTGATCTCTGAGTTTGCGGTCAGGCTGGTCTACAGAGCATGATCTAGGACAGGCACCAATGCTACACAGAGAAACCCTGTCTCAAAAAACCAAAAAAAAAAGGAAGAAAGAAAAGCAGGTCAGTGAAAAGGAACCAGCCAGAGAGGGTGAGGGAGAACTGAGGGGTGGGAAGGTGGATTCCATCAAAACACAATACATCCCGACATCGCTGCTCACCTGGTGCGCTTGGCTTCGCCCTCGTGGGCACGTGACCATCTAATTGGACATTTTTAAACAATTAAGATCTTAAGACCTTGGCCAGGTTTGGTGGCCCACACCTTTAATCCAAACACTTGGAAGCAGAAGCATGAGGATTTATTTCTGTTAGTTCCAACCCAGCCTGGCCTACATAACCAGTTCCAGGACTGCCAGAGCTCCACATAGAGAGAGCCTTTTCAAAATCTACAACAAGAATAATTAAATGCATAAGAATAAGAAAATGATAGCAAATGAAAAAAATTAAAGTAAGATCAGAAATTTACCATTACAGGATAAAGTGAGTGTAGGTCAGGGGTCGAGTATGTTCTTAGAATACTGGAGGCCCTGCCATCAGTCCCTGGCACTAAAAGGAAAAGGAAATAAGATATTTTTACTGAGTTCTCTTTCTCTTGAATTAGGTCACCAAACAGACACAAATATGCTGTTATTTGGCAAAGCCCTGAAGTATAAGACCATCACCCTCAAGGCTTAGCCCGGTGACTTCATATAGAATGTCAAGGCTGAGGTCCAAGACAGGGAAGGCATCCCACCTGACCAGCAGCAGCTGGTGTGAGCTGCCAGCAGATAGAACACAGCTGCACCCTGGCCAGCAGCAAGGTCCAGAAAGAGTCCCACTGGTCACTGGTGCTGTGCCTGTGTGGTGGCCTCATAGAGCCATCCCTTTGCCAATTTCTCCAGAAACACAACTGTGAAAAAGCCATGTACTGCTGCCCACAAGTGCTGCCCACACCTGCACCCCTGTGTGGTCAAATTCCTCAAGAAGAAGGGTGGCCATACCAACAACCTGTGCCCCAAGAAAGTCAAATGATGCTGGGACCGTGTTTGGCCCAGGACTCCTGGGAAACAATGAATATTTTTTGCCTGCAGGAGAAGGACTAAGGAAAGTGATGATGCTAAGATTGGGCTAGTGACATGGACCAGTGTATGAGTGCTGGTGCCAACCTTCAGCCCTGACGCTGACCCACATTATGCAAAGAGAACACTGTCTTCTGTAGGTGTCCTCTGACCGCCATGCATGTGCTGTGACACATGCAAATATACACACATGAAGGAAAAAGTAAGTGTAATTTATTATTATTATTAAATAAGTGTAATTTAAAGGAATAAGCGTAAATAAATAAACAAGTGTAATTTAAAGTTGTAATGGAAAGTACACACAGCAAAAAAGAACAAACAACCGGAAACAGTGGTGCACATTTATAACCCAGCACTTGAGACTATGAGGAAGAGGATTATGAATTTTATTCCATGCAGATGTACACAGTGAACCCTTCACACAAATCTTCAAACATTTTGAATATGAAGCACTTCACACAAAAAGTGAAATAAAGCAAACCCACATGTAAATTTGTATTTCACATGTGTAATATTCATACATGTATTTTTCATGTGTAATATTTATACAGTTTCATCCAGGTGGAACTGACAAAGATGAGGACAGAATGAGACAGACAATGATGGGACTGTGGAAATGTCATCCCTCAAAGAATTAA